CATCCCTGAAGTAGCCTTCACAATCCAGAAAAGGTACAGTGCCCTTTTCTTCGAAGGCAGCTGAACAGGCAGTGGGCCGATGGCTTCTGATGTGCAATGGGACAGTAGCTGAAACAGTTATTCTTGAAGAGTAACTAAGCTCATGCCTCTCAATAGTAGACTGGCATTTAATAGAGGGATGTGGAGAAGAACGGGATGCTGAGATGAAGCCACATACACACATAGCCAAGAAGAAAGGACAGCTGAATTCAAAAAACATCAACAATTTCCAGAATTTAAAATCCTGAATCATGACATGACACTAGTGGAATTCAGGTGTTTCTGGTACATGGACTGCTCTCACCCAATGTGAGGTTGAACTGTTGACCTTGTGTACATCCTACTTCACAAATGAGTCTGTCAGATACACTAAGTCTATAGGCTGAAGATGATGCCCCAACACTGTGGAGAAACCTCAGATGACTGTCCAGGCAGCTGGCTGTTTCTGTCAACTCACAATTTTTTGGAAGTTGCTTGCATGTACTTCCTGTTTTTATTTTTTTTTTTTTTTTTGTTAGCTAATTTTATTTCCTTCTTGGGTTTCTGAGGGAGTTGAAGATTAGTTAGCTATAGTTGAAGATTAATTACGATAGAAAGTGAATTAGATACAATAGGATAAATAATGGAATTATTTTCTCTGAATATGTCAAATACAAATGAACTAGACATTGTTTAGGTATTTATTACTTGTATATATTGTATATAGTTATTGTACTTTTGTATATAGTTTTTCTTGTGTTAGTTATAAGCTTTTTCCTTTTTTCTTTTTATTAAAATAGAAAAGGGGAAATATGGTGATATTTTATTTATATTAAAATGTTATTTGTATGTTAATAAATAAAGTTGCCCAGGGATCAGAGCTATTAGCAAGCCATAGGAAAGCAGGGCAGTGGTGGCATACGCTTGCAATCCCAGCACTTGGTAGGCAGAGCTAGGTAAGTCTCTGTGTTCAGGGATATAGCCAGTATTGGATACACATGCCTTTAATTTCAATACCAATCATAGAAAACCTGGAGGCCTATACAGACAGGCCGTAACGAGGCGGTCATGTGGTTGGGTTTACAACCAATGAGAAGGCAGAACAGGAACTCTATATAAAGACTTTAACACAGGGGTAGCTCTGGTTCGGAGAGGTAGGACCACCGCAGGAGGAAGGGTAAGGTTTTAGCTCTTAGCTCTGACCTCTTGGCTTTCTTCTTTGCATTGGTTCTGTGTTTCTTATTTAATAAGAAGGTGGTTACATCTACATCTAGAAGGCATAGGCAGGCAGTCAGCAGTGTGTATTCACTGCCTCCTGGTAAAGAAGGGACTCCTTCAAAATTATGTACAGTACAAGGCTCCTCATCCAATACACAGAACAAAGAAAATTTAAGACATATTTATTTATCTAGTGTGTATGGGGAGACATGCCACAGTGTGTGTTTGTGTTTGTGTTTGTGTGTGTGTGTAAAAGGACAACTTACAGGAGTCAGTTCTCTCTTTCCACCATGAATCCAAGAGCTTAATCTCCAGTCGTTAGCCTTGGCAGCAGGCACCTTTCTCCAGTGAGGCATCTCCCCAGCCCAGAACACAGAAATTCTGGTGAGGAGCCATTTTCTCGGTTCCTCTAAGAACCATTCTTTACCTAGGAGACACGTAAACTCATTAGATACCAAGGTTGCCTCATAGCAAATGAAAACAATAGAGTGATCTCACACTCTGGCCCAGTTTCAGAAAGATAGAAATATAATTTTTAAATTGTAACAAAGTTTTCATAACAATTAAGATCATCTTGTACTTGCACAAAATAAAAGTGGATTTTATTTCTATAGCTCTCCTGACCATTGTGTTTCTAAGGTAGAGGAAACAATTTTACATTGGAAACACCATTGAACTGGAAGTCACATTGGTTCACTGACTCAACCTGGGATAACTTTGAACAGTCCTTATCCACAAAGATTCTGATTCTTGAATGAGGAAGAAACCTGTTGTGTTGATTCAGACTATTCTCACAGTCTTAAATGACCACTCACATGTGGAGGTGATTGACAAGTTACAGAGGCCCATAGAAATCTTCGGTGTTGCTGAGTGGTATTTCTGCTTTATTGCCACCCTCCTTCCTTACCAACTGGCCTTACAAAGCCTTCTCTAACAGCTCCACTGGCTTATAGGAGGAAACTTACTTAAATGTATAAACTGTGTTCTTGTGAGTCTGGTTGCTGTGTGTCTGGACTTGCCTTTGTATTTCCATGGACTAGCAAAGGCTCACTCTTGTGATGCAACTGCTCTAACTTTTCTTAAAAAGCAGGTTAAAATCCAAGGCATACATCAGCTCAGTCGGGCCACTTACAAGCTCACAGACAACAGGGAATTTTCTAGAGGCCCAGAGAGTTTTGTACTGCTCACAACAGAATTAGCTTCTGATTTATCTGTCTGTCTGGGTTAGAGGCACAAACATGAGTTTCCTCCTCCTCCTTCTTTCTTTTCCTTTACTTTTTTTCTCTTGTTCATTCTTTGTTTATGTTTTTTTTCTTTCTTTCTTGGATGTGTACTATGTGTACAGTGAGTCTCCATTTGCCCCCCTACTCCCTCCGTCATTCCCATCTTCACCCCCACCCCCAGCACAACCTTTCAGACTAACAGAAATCAAGGCATGTGCCAAGTCAGCCAGTGACCTCACTAAAGAGGTCACACATTATCAGTCTTTTCTGTTAACCCAGTGATGGAGGGGAAGAACAGTTGCAGGACCTACAACATCATCCAACACCTTCTCACTTAAGACTTGAGTTATGTCTCCCTTTCTGCCGTTTCCAGCCAAATGCTCCCGACTCAGTAACCACAGACACACATCTCAGACTTCATTAGCCTGCTTCTCCACTTACCTTAACCTTTCTTTTCACATCACGGGAATACGAAATAAAACAAAGTCTATCCCTAACCTGAAAGCTATCTCCAATTGTTACCTGCTCTTAAAAGAAAAGTTAGTTTTCTCCAACAGATTCTCACTGGGTATACAAACCAAGTACGGGCCCCATGTCCCACAGTAGATGGCCAACACAAAACAAACTCAATGGTATTTTTAGAGGTATTTTTGTCTTGTAATGCTTTTTCTGACATTTTTATTTCTCTTTTTTACCTACAGGACTTTTGCTTCTATATTATGGTTCATGATTTTGTGTGCAAATATGTGTGCCCTGTGTTTATATGTGTTTCCCATGCTTTTTTTTGTTTTGTTTTTTGGATCTTCATTCTTTTCTTCTGTTCACTTGTTTTCCTTACTCAGGATTTTTTTTTTATTTTTATCTTATCTTATTTTATAATTATTATTATTACTTTTTTAAAAGATTCCTATTTATTTTCTAATGAGAGAAAGCAAGAAAGGATATGGACTTGCCTAGATGGGGAGGTGAGGAAGAGCTGGAAAGAGTTAGGAAGGGGAACTATATTCAGAATATGTTGTATTTTAAAAAAATCTATGTTCAATTAAAAAAAAGAGAATTGTATTCCTGCAGGCCAAGGCTGTACATTTCTCTGGTGACCGCTATAGAGTGTGGGCTTCCTGCCCAGTTTCCCTGGGAACCGCCACTAGAAGCAGCAAAGGCAGTGCTGGGTGTTACTACATTGCTGCTCTCTGTCAGAAGCAGAACCCAGCAGCACTAGTGTGCTCCAAGCAGACGCTTTCCATACCTGACATGTTCAGTTGATCCAACCATTTTAAAGATGCTGCTGCTGGCATTGAGTCTTCCTTGGATTGTAAATAATTTTGGTAGTATCAGCCATTGTCCACTTTTGGTCTCCAGAGTCTTGGTTATTTCTGTTAAAGATTGATGATGAGTCAGGAAGGACCGCACCCATTAGGCTAAGCTGTCTGAGGCTGGTGTTTGACACCTATGTCTGAGGATTGCAGCTCTCCTTTGACAGGAATCACCTAGCCTTATTCCTGAGGCTCCTTTCCCCTGGGCTGTGCCTCCAAGGAGTGGGAGCTACAGGAACATATGTCTCTGTCCATGAAAAGTGGTCATGCTGATTCTCCAAGGATTTTCACTAAATGAACAATGTTCTAATTTTAGATTGTTCTTCCTGTGCTAGAGATTGAACCTAGGGTCTGTGCATGTCTGGCAAGTACTCTCCCACTGAGCTATATCCCTAGCCCAGGTTTGGGTTTCTAATTGGCACATCTCAACAGCTTGTTACTTCATATTTGCTTCTCAGCCCTTTCTAAAAAAAAAAAAAAAAAAAAAAAAAAAGAGGGTTTTGGCCTCTGTACCTAAAGGGGGCAATCAAAAATCATGATTTTTCAGAAGCCTCTGTCAATCATCACACAGTGTCAGTCATTCTGTAAATGTCCTCTGGTGGTGTCCCAAGGGATTTCCTTTCAATCGAAGTTAATTGAAATAAAATGTAGTGAGAATTGTGCAAATCTAGTTTGCAAACATTCAAGATTTTCATGACTTCATAACGCAAAGGCAATATGTAATATGTCTTGCATCTTGTATACAGGGCTCCAGTTTTCTGTGAGAATGGAGCTTTCTTAATGGTATGGTATGTGACTATGAGGAAGGGTGAAGAACTCATGTGTGCTCAGCAATGGTTAAAAAAAAATAAAATAAATAGCAGTAACTTCTACATCCATCTTTCAATCACTCTGACTCATGTCTGTTTACTGCTTCCCAGGATTCTATTACAACAACAAAACAAGAGGAAGTAGCCTTACAAGTTATCTAGAACAATGGTTGTCGACACTTGTAAATCATGCAAAAGTCACATTTACCAAGTTCCACACTTTGCATCTGAACTTAGAAGTTTTATAAAAAGCCTGTCTGAAACCTGAAGATGCCCAGTTGAGGACCCACCGAGGATCCTATCACCCTGTGTCACAGTAGAAAACGGGGAGATGAACTGACTTGCCCTAGTCTATAAAATATCTAATTGTAAATTAGAGAGAGAAAAAGAGGGGTTAACCCAGTCCAGATGATTATAATTCCAGTTCTGTTTTCTGTTCCCTTGAGTTGCGTGCCCATTTTCTTTCTTGTATGCAGAATCCCATAGAAATAGAATAACTGAGAGGAGTTGACAGAGGGAAGTCACTGTGCCCCTATGGCTCAATTCACTATAGGGATCATGCCAGTCACATGAGTGAACCTGTCCAGATGCACGAAAGATGAAGTTCATTAAAACACATTGACAAGCCATTTGCACGTTTCTGTAGACCAATCTGTCCCTGCTTTCTTGTGGCTTATTCTCCTAGCTCCTGTGTACTCACCAGCACCAAAACAGGTCTGCCTCCTCTGGTTCTGTTCACCTTCTACAGGAAGCTAGCTGAATGAAAGGTCAGAGTTCAAGGAAGTGATGCTGTTGTCAACGTTAAATATTTACTGAATCTTAAGCTTTATCCTGGCAGTGAACCAAGTTACCATCCCTGCCCAGTGGGTTTGTAGCAGAAATGTCACTGATTTGGAAGGTGTTTTTAGTGCAGAGGTTAAAACCTTGTCCAACTGGATCTGTGTCTCAAAGACGAAGTGACAAAGAGGGAAGATAGGAACATGACCTTTCAGGGGACAGAAGGTTTTCTCTTTCTTTTATGTCACATTGTCAACAAATGCAGAAGGTCCAGCAGTCTTTCCCGAGCCTTGGTCCTTCTGTGGAAGCTCCTTGAAATTGCAAATCAGCGTTGGGGTGAATGATCTGAGTCAGCGAGGCCTGGTCTCCTTGCTGTAAAGAGGAAATGTGAACAGTCTGGACACTGTAAGCAAGAGATCAATAAGTCTACCAGAAGCCAGAAAGCCAGCAGCCCTCTGCACTCCACACACTTCACATAGTAAGTTCCTCAGCCGCCAGTGCTGACTGGGCAGCTGACATCACTCTTTCTTGTGAATATGTTGGGCAATGTTCCTAGGTGAATTGTTATTGCACATAACCTTCGATAATTTTGTCTGGGTAGTTTTCTTTAAATTGATGCGTGCCTTTCTTTTCTTTTCTCCAACAAGTATACTTTGCTTAGTCCTAAATAGACAACTAGAATAGTTGACTGTCAGTAGTCAGGTGGATAAAACAAGCACACAATGGGAAAATCATTGTGCACTCTTAAAACCATTTTACATACAGAGTGTGTATGCCTCCTCCTGAGAGTCTCTGATCCTGGATGTCCTGAGGACTGAGGTGTAAGTTCAGGCTTGGGGACAGGGCAACACATGGAAACTGCGGAATGACCGGAGTCACACTCTGAGCTACTGACTGTGTTTAAACTCCTGAGCAGCTCCCAGATCCTGCTGGGCCATCTCCCACCCTCCTCTGCTGAGGCTGGTATTTGTGGTGAAGGGGTCTCTTCCAGTTTCAGTCCTGTTTGGTGTGATAAAACACTCTGACCAAGAACAACTTGGGGTGAGAAAGTTTATTTGGCTTTCTATTCCAGAGGCCATCAAGGTAGGAACTTGGAAGTAGGCCTACCTGTGTTTCCACACAGTACTACCTCTGATCAAGAGACTCACTCACACCTAAAGAAGCATGCCAGGACCCATGGGAGATGTTGCTTGATGGCTGGCAAGCAGTCTTATGCTCAGCTGGCTTTTGAATACAGTTCAGAACCACCTTCTCCAATGACACTTCCCACAGTGGGCTAGACCCTCCTAAATCAATTAATATTGAAGATAATCTCCTACAGGCATGCCCAAAGGCCAACCTGATCTAGGCAATTCTCAGTTGAAATTCTCTTCCAAGATAATTCTAGGTTATATCAAGTTGACAGGTAAAGCTAACCAGAGCAACAAACCATCAGTCCTTCATTCTTCTTGGTTATACAGCTCTGTCTTCTGGTTTGGCCACCATCTGCTCCATCCTCTCCAGCTGAATTATTTCCTATTGGCCACTATCACTTGTCAATTCTTGCTTTGGTTGCCATTCACCTTCCTATCCTGAAGGTCCTGGGGCTTGGTTTGCCAGTTTTATAGGGGAAGCCCATGTCTTTTTATAAAGTCTCACTTTGACATTCTCTGATTCCATTAACACCCCATTAGCTAAGTACATACCTTATTTACCCTTCCTCCTTCCTCAGCATGAAGCAAAGACCCAGTTAACAAGGCTCTGGAGCTCAGGGATCCTTGTCTCTGCCTGAACTTTCAGGACTCACGTGCACCCAAGATTCAGTGATCCTTGCAGGGTGTTTTTGATAACTTGTCTTCACAGATGAAGAGCCCTGTGTTTAGAGAAGAGCCTTATTAAAACAAACAAACAAACAAACAAACAAGCAAACCTCACAATAACCGGCCTTTTTTTTCTCTTGATCTGATGTAGATGTTCTGGGTAGCTAGACTAGTGCCTGGCCTGCAGGGACTGCTGGACTACCTCCTCTTTGGCTGGGGCCGTGATGAAATGGAATGGGAGCCATTCATGGCTTTCCTAGTTCTTTGATTCTGCTTTTTTCTTGGGCGATGCATAACTGAGACCAGCATCTGCCCAGTCCCGACCTGGCAGCCTCCTGGTGTGAAGTAGGGCCAGGGACCGGATCCAAAGCTGAGGTACCTTCCTGCCTTTCTCCTGCAGCCTGAGGCTAGCTGTGAGTCCACAGCTGGACTGCCCAAGCTTTTTGTGGTGAGAAATCAGGGCAGTTTCTGTGTGAAGCACAAGTGAAGTTTGTGTGTGTGTGTGTGTGTGTGTGTGTGTGTGTGTGTGTGTGTGTGTGTGTGTGTTTGCACATGAGTGTCCTTGCATATGTGTAGCTCTGATGACTTGGCAGGCTGCTGCTGTGTCTGTTTTAATAGGTCAGTGAGAGAGGACAGTCTAAGGCTTTGTTGCTGAACTGTGTGGCTGTAGCTGCAGTACTTAGCCTTTCTAAGTCTTGTTTATTCTTGTCTAAAAAATATTTGTGAAGTAGGAGCCTCGACTATGAGGAATAGACAGGTTCTGTCCAACAACAACAAGCTCTGATTCCCTGAATCTACAGACTGGATTTTTAAACTGAATTTTCTGGCTTTTAAATTCTCAAATCTTAAACCTATTCCATACAATCTTCACTGTTATCAAATTTATTTTGTCAAGAAAAGAAAATTGAAGTAAACTTTAATGGGTTAAAGTCTTTTCCATATCAAAGTATAAGAATTGCTATACTGACTCTTTTTTTAAAAAAATTGGATTAAAATTCTCTCATGCAATATCAGTCATTTTTGAAGCTCCAGGGGCTGTCAGACATTTTTGAAGGACATCTAGCCAGCAAACCTGGAGAGATTCCCTTCTTAGTTGGTTACAGCACTTCTTAGCTGTTTACTGCTCAGGACAGACAGAATAGAGGCTCTTTTCTTAAGCCCTCTTAGCTCTACTTACCCCAGTACATGAGGTAAGGTGGCCTGGTTTTCATGACCGGGGAACTCATGTCCATGTGTCAGCTCTGAAGAGATTCATTTTCAGAGAACTGCCTTAGAGGAGCCTGATCCTCAGCTACTGGGTTAGGGTTGGGCAAGGATTAGAGTTAGAGGCCAAGGGTTACAGGGTTAGGGTTACAGGGTTAGGGTTAGGGTTAGGGTTAGGGTTAGGGTTAGGGTTAGGGTTAGGGTTAGGGTTACAGGGTTAGGGTTAGGGTTAGGGTCACAGGGTTAGGGTTAGGGTTAGGGTTAGGGTTAGGGTCAGGGTCAGGGTTAGGGTTAGGGTTAGGTTTAGAATTAGGGTTACAGGGTTAGGGTTAGAGGGTTAAGGTTGGGGTTGTTGTCACCGTCTGCTTTAGGTTTCTATATAAAAGTCACTCCCAGGGTCCTATCACTGACCTCCTTCAACATTAATACAAGTACTATATTATCAGGTAGGTAAGAAACATAGACCCCTGTGTCCATTAGAAGGACTTTTTCTAGAATCTTGATTAAATAATGCTCTATACAAATTCTGGGATAAAACTGCCACCCCACAGTTTCAGGATCACAAATATCTACCCAGCCGCCCCAGTCTCTTTTACTTTCAGATACAGTTTCAGTTACTCTTCTTAAGAAGTTTCATTCTGGCCAGGCAGTGGTGGTGTACTCGGGAGGCAGAGGCAGGCGGATCTCTGTGAGTTCGAGGCCTGCCTGGGCTACAAAGTGAATTCCAGGAAAGGCTCAAAGCTACACAGAGAAACTGTATAGAAAAAAACCCCTGTCTCAAAACAAACAAACAAACAGAAAAACAACAACAAACACAACAAAAAGGTTGATTCTGTGTATGAGGCAGCCATAATAATGACAGATCTGAAGGCGTAATAGTAGTAAATTCCCCTGGTTCAGAGGCAGTTGAGTCTCATCCTTTGGATTTCTTGTCTTCCTCACAGCCCTCATCATCTGCCTTCAGTTTTAGAAGATTCCACATCCCTTTTATATCAAGCTAACCACAGGTTTTCCTGCCAAGACCAGGCTCTCCTTCTAGCCTCCCTCTTTAAACACCAGCCCCCTCTGCCAGGATATTTGTCTTTTAGGCTTTAGGTTTATTGATTTCCTTTGAATTCAGTAACAAGAAATCTACCTCTGACCTACCCTCCTCATTCTCTTGACTGTATCCTCTGTCTTCTTTTATTTCATATAGACATCATGAAAGGCTAGCGTATGCTCAGCAAGACTGTTTCATGTCTAGTCGTTCAGTTTGCAGCCTCTACACTCCAACTTCTCTAGTTAGGCCACCTGCACTCCAGATTCTCAAATGGGAGCGGCTGCTTTGGGCTTTGTGTGGTGGCACACTTCTGGGCATGTGGCTCTGTTGGTTATATGCTCCACTGCCCACAAAGTATTATACTGTTGGTTTGTCTCATTTGTTTCTGTTCCCTTTTCACTGTGGATTCCTCTCTTCTGCCCACCACCAGCATTCGGGTGGGCCAGGTGTTTGCTTTAGACCACGTTCTTCTCAGTACTGACAGTCTTGTTGGGTGAACTTATCCACACTCAACATTTCAATGTATGCTAATGACATCACCATTTACACCAGCCCATCCCTCCCCTGAGCTTCAGACTCAACAATTCCATCACCTCCCGGGTATTCTATTTATTCTATTTATTTTTATTTTTGGATATTCTCCAGATATGTGGCTCTGTTTCTCAAATACTGGAAGTAGCACTTTGCTCTATCTTCAAACTGTATTTTTTGTTTTGTTTTTGTTTTTCGAGACAGGGTTTCTCTGTGTAGCTTTGCGCCTTTCCTGGAACTCGCTTTTTAGCCCAGGCTGGCCTCGAACTCACAGAGATCCGCCTGCCTCTGCTTCCTGAGTGCTGGGATTAAAGGTGTGCGCCACCACCGCCCGGCGTCAAACTGTATTTGTATATCCTTCATTTTCAATCATCTCTATTTGTCAGTTTTTTCATCCAAGAATACAAGTTATAAAATGTTAGACTTCCTCCATCACCTTCACCGGAAACTGATCCTCTTCCCCTTTTTTCTGTCTCTCAGATTCGTTCTCTCCATTCCACTCTCACCATCCATGTGCTGTCAACGTTGGGCCTTCTCTGGCCCACTGCCACAACCACCTAGCTGGCCTGGGTTTCTGGATTTGCTCCCCTGTGTCCCCATCATTCGAGAGCTGCTGGACAACTGCTGTCTAAGTCCGTTCAGAATCTTCCAGGGAAAGTCTCACTCCTTTTCTAGCATCCAGTATCCTGTTTCGTAAGCACGGAGTCCAGCTGCTTTGCGTGCCTCGCCGTGACTGAAGTAACACTCAGCCAGTGGTATTCTGTTCTTTCTGTTCTTTGCTTCCTCCTTTGCTAATACACATGTTTTGCTATAAAGACTTAGGTTGGTATTATGAGTTTCAAGTTCCTTCTACAGTACTTATTAGAGCCTTCGTGCTTGGGTCCATAGAAAAGACAGTCTACAGTTAAATACCCACTTTAGACATTTTATTCTTCAACACAGTCAGGAGTACTGGGCATGCATACAGTACTCATTTGTACCATGTAATTAAAAATTTGCCAAGCTTTGTAGATTTCACATCCATACTCCTCAGAACCCAGAAGCACTATCTGTTCTGAAGCATGCACTGCCCTCTAATGGCCCTCGTTGGAAGAACACGTCCAATCCACAGTATTTACATGACCTGTTGTTCATATGAGGGATGTTTCCTGTTACAATTATTTTTCCCCAAACATGCTTTGAATAATATCAAATTTTAATTCGCAATATTTTTACATAATTAAAGAAATTTTTTGAGTCTTGTGTAGGCTTGTAATCCCAGCTGTTTGGGATGCAAAGGTGTGAGGACTTCAAGTTCAAGGTAAACCTGGGAAAAACAGTGAGACTGTCTAAATACTAAGTCAAAAGAGGGAAAGGGACAGAGCCTGGTGGTGAAGTTCTTGCCTGGTGTGCATCAGGCCCCAGAATCAACTTCCAGTATTTTCCTCACACCACAGCCCAAGAGCAGTTTTGGAGCAAACCGTACATTTGTTCTCAAAGAATGCTCAGGAGGCTAGTTCTCACTACAATTCCCCTTCTGACACCCAGGACTTAGAGCTCTTGTCATCTAATCAAGGGAAGTCTGACCTGAGTGGTCAGAAAGTATACTTAGGGAGTAAAGCATAGAGCTTTTATTCACTCCATAAATATAACACACTAAGACCATGGAAGCCACAGGATTCACATTGCTTGACTGAGATCCCAGGTTTACACTTGATATCTACAATGTTACATGAACAGTGTATCAAAGCACACATGCCCTTGGAAAGTTGATAAATTTAAACCTGATGCTACAAAAACCTGAAAATAAAACTGAGCTGAAGCAAAAGTAAAACTTCTGCTTTGGAACTTTTAAGAGTTTGTTCTGTGAGGAGAGCAAAGCACAATCACTGTGACAAACCACTGAGTCCGGTGAAAATGTCACTTAACCCCAGTTGTCCCATTTTCAACCAAGAGAAGGAAAATGATAAAAGCCAAATATAACCACAATATAGCCACACAACCTTGATTGATACGATGTAGAATTATATTTTATGTGATTTATGGTTTTGCTATCAAGTAACTTTAGAGAATTTTCTAATATTGTAGAGCAAGGGTTAATCATTAGAACACTGCTAAAGAATATTGAATTATGTTCATAGATACACTGGTAGGAAAACACCACAAAGCCAGGAACACAGCAACTGGGGGTCAAAGTGTGTACATTCCTGTGGAGTGCTACTTGGCTGCTCTGAAATGCATGTAGCCACATCTGCATATGAGGCTCATAATGCTTGCTTGTGTGGAGTGTCACATTAGCATCCTGCTTGGCATCTGCCTCATGAGATGAAAGACTCTGCTAAGATCAAAGCTGCCCTGCTGGGTTGGGCCAACAGCAGCCTGGATGCAGGGACACTTCTGTTCACTGTCTATGACTTTGTAAATCCTCCAGGCAATACCAGAGACCTGGAACTGAGAAAGTATTTCAAACGTTTTAGGAACCAATAAAACTGCGGCTTGACATTTTCTTTCCTATGTTTCCAAAGCTATGAGAAAAGATCGTTCCCTCCCTTCCTCCCTTTCTTCTTTCCTCCCCCTCCTTCCTTCCCTCCCTCCCTCCCTCCTTTTCTTCTTCCCCCCCCTCCCTCCCTCTGTCCCTCCCTTCCTCCCTCCCTCTCTTTCTTTCTCTCTCCCTTTCTCCTTTCTTTCTTTCTTTCTTTCTTTCTTTCTTTCTTTCTTTCTTTCTTTCTTTCTTTCTTCCACCAACTCCTCCTCCATCTTCTTGTTCCCCTTCTTGTCTCAGTTTCATATACTCAGAATCACTTGTTGAAGGAACTAGAAGTAACTTTTAAAAGAGAAAAGAAAAGAATGGACAGACGTTATGGTGTTCACCCATATTTTCAAGCCTGAAATTTACAGCACAGAAGTTGTTTGACTGATACTGTTAACACAAATCTCAGTAAAAGCAAAGTATTAGACTGAAACGCTGAAAGAGAAACAAAGAAATGAAAATAAAATGCACTTTTGGTTCTGCTTTCATGTTGCAGATACACTTACGCATTTTCGATCTCAGGCTCCAATGTGCCGGGTCAAGACTGTACTTGGTTCTGCACAGTTCCTTGTTTTATAACCTAATGCTCTGCTTCACCTTCCTGTTTCACTTGTGCTCTGCTTCATTTATTATCCCCTCTTCTCTTCCTTCTTCATTTGAAATCCGTGTTTACTATTACAGAACAGTTCCACACGGTGTAGTTACAGTATTGGTAACTCACAAAGTCTAATAAATATATAAACGTAATAAAATGCCTTGACTTTGACTCTGGAGGAGGTCAATTTGATCAATTATTACTTCCTTAAAGACAACTGCTCTGAAGTTTAGTTCAGAGAGATTCAATTTTCCATAAATAGAAATGGTTCTGAGGTCATCTGTTGCATATTCTTCCTGGATGTGAACTCCTGGAACAGGGGCTTTGGGATAGTAGATGCCCAGCCCAGAGGTGGAGTCACTGGAAGTACAGTACAATACCCTGTGCCTGGGAGACTGCCTGGCTACTTGTGCCTCAGAGCCTTGGCTCCTGGTTCTTGCTTAGACCTTTGCACCTTGGAAGGCTCACTTCTAGGCTTCTCTCTTGATCTGTGTACCACTCTCATGGTGGTTATTCTGAGTGCCTGGCTATGGCCTATGGGTGCTGTAATCATCAGTAACAGCAACATAACCTGCACTAACTTGGAAATAAAAATGTATCTGAGAGAAAAGGTAATAACAACATCCCTCTTAATACTTGATAAAATAAGAGAGACCAGGTCTTTGGCTTCATTGGTTCTTAGCAACCATCTTGATTACCATGAGGTGCTGATGCCATGTGCTTTATACACAACTTGATTTGAACAGTATATGCCAGAAGAGTGGAATCACAACTTTGATACCATACTTCCAACAAAACATGTATATGACCACATGAAAATTATTTGAACATCTTCATGCATTGGTGCATGCATCTGTAAGAGAAAACTCAAATGTAAAGACAGTATGAATAATAAAATAATAACCTTCCTCACTGGGGCTTTATAGAGGGTCCCAGGTTGCCCTAAAATGTAATTTAGGCTTTTTAAAAATTCAAGATATTGCTATTTCCCAGTCTTTGGTTGTGATATTAGATATGATATATGTGAAATGAAAGTGTGATTAAGCTAAAAATCACCCAGTGAGCTGTGGAAACCTAAAGCATAAAAAAACTCCACATTTGTTTCATCAGAGAAACATGGCCATGTTTGGGGAAAGCCCTAAAATTGAAAAAACTAGGACACCACACAGCATGTGAGCAAGTAGTAGAGATTGTTAGTTGCAGGCAGATAGCAAGCCAGTTCTTATTACTGAGGAAGAACCAAAGTGTGTCCTGCTCAGGACCACTTCTGCATCCAAATTGTCAATGCAACTACTGCTGCAGCAGAACTCATTGAGCCCTGTGAGCTGGGTGTGGCTATCTCCCCAGTATGGCTTTCTGGGTAGAGCTAGAAGGAGAGGCTATACTCCGGCAGAGAGCAAGTGCCTCACGCTCACTGGGTGTGGGATTCTTTACCCTTCATAGAACATCTCTGTACTCTTTTCCTAGAAAAGATGACTGGTCAATCTTTTTAGAAGAGTTGGTATTAAACAAAGGAAAGAAATGTGGCTGAGCTATGTCCTCACTGCTTCAAGTTTATATTTTGCAATTCATAATGACAACAATTAGACAAGAACACAAAATTTTCTAGTTTGTGCTGTTGTCTTCTCAGGATCTGGATCATTTTCTGAAGAAGGAGTGTGCCTTTGTCTCTGGAAACCTCTGCTCCTTTATGCTGAAAACAATGGGCTCTTTCTGCCCTCAACACCTTTGTCACTTTAATTTGTTTTTTAACTTTGTTTTGAGTTGTGTTGATCTATTCAGTTTTTTTTTCCTACTGGTTTTAAATAAGTTAACACAATGATCTTGAGTATGAGTCTCTGAGATTATGAGTTGTCAGCCAGAATTAAATCAGTTTAAAGGCTCTTCACATACTTTGAAATCCAGAAATACTGATGTTGTGCTCATTCATTCAAGGTCACTCTTACAGAGGTCATGGTCATCTGCCTCCATCTTTCTAGGCCATGGTTAGGTGAAAGATCAAGACAGAAGGACATGGAAGAAATGAATTATCAGTTTATGATGGCTCAGAAGCAGAAAAGAAGTATAAAGAAGAGGCCCAGAGCATGATAGAGTATTAGTGAACTCTTTTTCAATGACCTCCTTCATCAAACCTGGCCCCATAGGATGGTTGGTTTTAATTGTCAGTTTTACATAATCCAGAGTCACCCAGAAGAAGGACCTTAAGAATATTTACCTTGATTATTTAATTGGTATGGGAGGACCTGCTCACTGTAGGTGGCACCATCACCTGGGTGCAAGGATCCTACACTATATAGCAGAAGTGAGCAGAGGACTAGCATTAATCCACTGCTCACTGCTCTTGACTGTGGATTACTGTGATTAGCAGTTTCAGGTTCCTGTAACTTTTATTCCCTACAAACTATGGAGTGTAACTTGGAACTGTGAGCCAAATAAGCACTTCCACCTTAAGCACTTCTGTCAGAGTGTTTATCACAGGGACAGGAAGCCAAGCCTTCCACTTCTGAAACATTAACCACCTGTCCGTAATGCCATCAAATTATGATTCCATCTATGGACTAATACTCTAATTAGACCAGTACCTTCATGATTCAATCAATTCTCCTAAGCCCATCAGTGAGTAACCAAGTCTTAGAGTATGAACCTTTCTGGAGGACTCTTCTTATCTATACCATAATATTCCTAATGACTCAAATACTCATGTCCATCTCATGATGCAAAATCCTTCCAAGAGTTCCCAGAGTAGCAGTAGTTCTAGAATTGCTCAAAGTTCAAGGTAAAAATCTCCTATGATATGCAAGGCAAACTCATAAATCCAAAGGGAAAATTAGACTCTTCCAACATAGTACAGTGAACAAGCACAGGCTAAACCCTGCTCTTCCAATGGGAAGTCACTGTAGCACTGTTCTGTGCAAAGATCTTGATTTCATTTTAACAATTGCACCCTCTTGTACACAACTTTCTACAGGCTTTTTTTCTGGCCAAACTATTTATCAAATCTTTCTGCTCCCAGCTCTTGCTACAACATTGGCTAAAAGTAGTCAGTAATACCCAGGCTACGTCCTGAATTTGGAGGTGCTTTGAAGTTTTCTCTGATAGATTAATTATTTCATCAATTTTAAATTCATCTTCACTGAGTATCGGTGGCATGTATGAAACATAGACAAATTATTTCAAATAGTATAAAGCAATTGGTCTTTAGTCCAATCCTCAAGAATGTTTGTTCCTATCTGAAACCTTGTGTGTTAGATGTTTTCATCCACATTCTTATCAGCAATTGGGTCTCCTGAATTTCCACCTTTCTAGACCAGTGGTTCTCAGTCTTCCTAATGCTGTGACCCTTTAACTCCCCCAACTATAAAATTATCTTCATTTCTATCTCATAACTGTAAGTTTGCTACTGTTATGAACTGTAATATAAATATCTGTGTTTTCTGATGGTCTTTAGGTGACCCCTCTAAAAGGGCCAGTTGACCCCTAAAAGGGGTCGTGATCCACAGGTTGAGAATCCCTGTTCTAGATCATTCTCTAAACTTCAAAATCCTTCAGTCAGTTTCTGAGGCAACTGGGCCACACCATCAAGTAAGTCATCATAGCTACAGTGATACTTCTTTATACCAACATTTCATTTATCAGGTTTTGTCACTTGCCCCGGCCAGCGGGGTGTCAACGGGGGCGACCCACCTGTGGGAAGAGAATGAGAGGGACGGGGGAGACAGGAAAGGACGACAGGAAGACAGTGTGTTCTGATCAAGCTGCAAATTTTATTCTCCTCAGCAAGGCTTATATAGCATGAGAGGGGTCAGGAAGGAGGGAAGGAGTACACAACAACGTGCCGTAAGTGCAGGTGAAGGGCGACGTGCAAGTCGTGAGGCTGCTAGGTGGTCAGGTCACTGGTCAGGGCCCATTGTTCTGTTGCTATGCTACCTGACCTGCCTGACCTGTTCTTTATCTTGGGGGCATCCGGTTTAGGGCAGGGGCTTGTTCTCTGGCTTAGCTAGTACTTTTCCATGGTCCATGTTTGGACTCTGACAGTCACTGTAACAGATTCCTGAAAAAGAAGAACTTGATAGGAGAGAAGATTTGCTTTTACTTATAGATTCATGTGTTTCTGTTCATGGTCTCTTGGCTCTGTTGCTCTAGGCCTGAAGTAAGCCTCTATACCATAGTGAGAACATATGACAGAGGATGCAAGGCTGCAGGAAATTAGAAAAAGAAAATGGCCCTGGACAGTGGAACGCTTCCTCCAACCATACCTCACCTGGGAAATATTCCTTCACCTCCCAATATTATCAGATTATGAATCCATCACTGGACTAATCCATTAATTACCTAGAGCCATCATGATCTAATCACTTCCCAATTCCATCTGTTACAAACACACTTTTAACACACAAGCCTTTTGAGGGAATATTTCATACTTCAACTATATATATTAGTGAATAAGTAATAGTAAACATTATAAGAACAGAATAACTATAATTTATATATATTATCTAACCTATGCCCAGGGAAGTATCATTGAATATTCTGGAAGTGCATTGAAATGAAAAGGAAAACTCAACAAAAATAGTTTAGTGAAGAAAATTCTGAACCTAAATAGTGTGTGTGTGTGTGTGTGTGTGTGTGTGTGTGTGTGTGTGTATCTGTGTATATGTGTGTTTGTTACTGAGTAGTGAACCCGGGACCTCACACATGCTAGGCAATAAAGTACTCTATCACTGAGCTATATTCCTAGCCTTTTTTGTTACTTTTTCATTTTGAAACAGGGTCTTAAGGTCTTAAACTCATTTGGTAGCGCTGGTAGGCCTCTTGCCTCAGCTTAAAAGTAGCTAGAATTATAGGCTTATGTCATTAGGCACTCACTGTGTTTCCAAAACTCAAAGCTTTATAAGCTTATATACAGGTAGATAATTTTTATGTAGCATGTAAATAAACTATC